AGACTTACAGGTGATTTAAATGGGCAAAACTAGGCCTGGCACGGGGGCTTGTAATCCTAGCATTCTGGTAGGCCAAGGCAGGTAGATTGGTTGAGCTCACAGGTTCAAGACCAGCCTGAGCAACAGCGTACCTGTCTCTACTAAAAATAGAAAAACTGAAGCAAGAGGGTCACTTGAACATGAGTTGGAGGCTGCTGTGAGCTGTGACACCACAGCACTCTACCTAGGGTAAAAGCTGAGACTCTATCTCAGAAAAAAAAAAGTGCAAAGACAGAGTCTCAAGCTGTGTCCCTGGGTAGAGTGCTGTGGCATCATAGCTTGCAGCAACCTCAAACTCTTGGGCTTAAGCTATTCTCTTGCCTCAGCCTCCCAAATAGCTAGGACTACAGGTGCCCACCAGAACACCCTGCTATTTTTTTTTTGTAGTTGTCCTTGTTGTTTTAGCTGGCCTGGGCTGGTTTTGAACCCACCATCCTTGGTGTATTTGCTGGCGCTCTATCCACTGAGCTATGGAACCAGCCTAAATATGCAAAGTTTTTGAGCTATTAATTTTACTTCTAAGAATTTATCCTAATAGAATAATAGTAAATCTGCTCACAAATTTGTCTGTAAGTTCATCAGAGTATTTTTAAAATAGAGAAAAGGAAGCAGCTAAATGTCTAACAAAGGGCTTCTTCTGTGGCACAGTGGTTACAGTGCCAGCCAACATACACCGAGGCTGGCAGGTTTGAAACCAGCCCAGGCCAGATAAAACAACAATGACAACTGTAACAAAAAAAACAGCCAGGTGTAGTCCCAGCTACTTGGGAGGCTAAGGCAAGAGAATCGCTTGAGCCCAAGAGTTTGAGGTTGCTGTGAGCTGTGACGCTACCGCCCCTCTACCTTGGGTGACATAGTGAGACTCTGTCTCAAAAAAAATGAAAAATAAATGTCTAACAAAGGAATTAGTTAAATAAATTATGTAAAATCCATACAACTAAACACTATATACAACCACTAAGTAAAATATTGCTGGCATGTAAAATCTCAAGATATACTGCTGAAAGTCTCCCACTCTGAGAATGTAAACTATTGGGGCAGAGATCTTTGCTTGTTCACTGATATGTCTCCACTGTCTAGAATAATGCCCAGCACAGAGGAGGCATTTAATATTTGTAAAACAAATAAAATTTTAAAACACAGCTGTAAGATAGGAGCCGTGTATTATGAAAAAATAAAATAGGAAGGCATACACACATCTATAACACACACACACACACACTTAAATAGCTCTATAAAATTTGTGTGTATGCACCTATAAACACAGAAAAAATATAAAAATGAAAAAGAAAACAGACTAAAATGTTTCTGGTGATTATCTCTGGATGACATGGTTATTAAGTGACTTTCTCCCTCCTCTTTTCCTTTCTGTATTTTACAAATTTTATTCTACTTTTCTAATCAAGGAGAAAAACTGTAGGACCAAGAGGGAAACTTCTAAAGGCATGGGCTCATTTCTAGGAGTTTCTCCTATCATGCTTCTTACCCCTCTATTCTCCGGCTCTGGCCTCTGTCCTTGAGGACGTGGCGGGGTCTTCTCTCTGAAACAAAAGTGGCATAAAATGAGTCTATTACAAAATGCTTAAGAGCTCTTCCCTGAGGACTGGGTGCTTTTTACCAACAGAGACGGGGTTATGCTCCCCCATTCCTGTGTAGGAAATAGGCTTATGCTGAATTAAATCAAATAGTAAAACTACTCTTTTTTACTTATTATCATTATTATTAGGTTTTTTTGGGGGTGGGGTGGGGCAGAGTCTCACTCTGTTGCCTTGGGTAGTGTGCCATGACATCATGTCATAGCTTAGCAGGGGTCCTCAAACTTTTTTTTTTTGAGACAGAGGCTCGAGCTGTCACCCTGGGTAGAGTGCTGTGGCATCACAGCTCACAGCAACCTCCAACTCCTGGGCTCAAGCAAGTCTCCTGCCTCCACCTCCCAAGTAGCTGAGACTACAGGCAACTGCCACAACGCCTGGCTGTTTTTTTTGGTTGCAGCCATCATTGTTGTTTGGTGGGTTAAGGTTGGATTTGAACCCACCAGCTCACGTGTATGTGGCTGGCGCCTTAGCTGCTTAAGCCACAGGTGCTGAGCCCCTCAAACTTTTTAAACAGGGGGCCAGTTCACTGTCCCTCACAACATTGGAGGGCCAGTCTGTGGGCCCCGGGACAAGTCTGCTGCTAAGCAGGACAGGCAGCGGTGGCAAAAACACCCAGCGGGCCGGATAAATGTCCTAGGCGGGCTGCATGTGGCCCACGGGCTATAGTTTTGAGGACACCTGGCTTACAGCAACCTCAAACTCCTAGGCTCAAGTGATCCTCTTGCCTCAGTCTCCCAAGTAACTAGGACTACAGGCACCTGCCACTATGCCCAGCTAGTTTTTTATATTGTTTTTAACAGAGATGGTTTCTCACTCTTGCTCAGGCTGGTCTGAAACTCCTGAGCTCAGGTGATCCACCCACTTCAGCCTCCCAGAGTTCTAGGATTACAGGTGTGAGCCACTGCAACAGGCCCTAAAACTACTCTTCATTCCACTTGCAATCATTCTTCCAAGTATAGAGAAAACCAGGAAGAAAATCAGCTGATTAGGTTATAGTCATCAGACTGCACTCCAGCGATCCCGGCGCAGACTGGTTAGAAATGATCAGATGCCTTCTCTGGGCCTATGATACTGATCCTGTTGATGTCAGAAATCCCAAATTCAAACTAAAACAGAAGGTGGTTTGTCAAAGGAGAAGGCATGGTTTTTCTCATCTGCCACTATTCAGCTTTACCTCCCTCTACTCTTGGGTATGCTCTCTTTTCCCCCATACTTTACACATCATTACTGGAGCAATCCCACCCCTTGGAGACATTCCTGTCATACATCCTATTTCCCAGGCTATAGCAAGTGCCCTTTCATAGCACTCTGAACACCTGCTATTCTTTCTGCTCTGGGTCTACCCCTACAATCACTCATCCCACAAAAGCTTGACTGAAGGCTTGTTACACATTAGCACTAAGCAGTTTACTATCAATACTTGTGATACATTCCACTACTTCTTTTTTTTCCAGACAGTCTCTCAAGCTGTTGCCCTGGATAGAGTGCTCACAACAACCTCCATCTCTTGGGCTCAAGCAATCCTCTTGCCTCAGTTTTTCTATTTTTAGTAGAGATGAGGTCTTGCTTTTGCTCAGGCAGGTCTCAAACTCACAAGCTCAAGCAATCTGCCCACCTCGGCTTCCCAGAGTGCTAAGACCACAGGTGTGAACCACTGCACCTGGCCTGATACAATTCCACTTCTGAGGTATTGACATTTTCAAGAAGGAGACAGCATGGGAAGAGCCTTCTTTAATAGAATGTAATGGGAACATGGTGACAGCAACTCATGTGGGGAATACCATTTCAAAGAGGCTGTGACTTGAGTGGTGTCTGTGGCCCAAAGGAGCAGGGCGCCGGCCCCAAATGCCAGTGGTAGTGGGTTCAAACCCAGCCCCGGCCAAAAACCGTGAAAAAAATAAAAAGAGGATGTGACTTTAGGGTTGCTCATAAAAGATGGGCAGAAGTTAGAGTAGGCAGCAAGGGTGTTTGTACAGGGGTGCCAGAAGACGCAGAGAGCAATTACAAAAGCTGGTGAGGCTCAGTGCCTGTGGCTCAAGTGGCTAAGGCACCAGCCACATACACCTAAGGTGGTGGGTTCGAATCCAGCCCGGCCCACCAAAACAACAATGACAGCTGCAACCAAAAAAAATAGCCAGGCGTTGTGGTGGGCGCCTGTGGTCCCAGCTACTTGGGAGGCTGAGGCAGGAGACTCGCTTGAGCCCAGGAGTTGGAGGTTGCTGTAAGCTGTGATGCCACAGCACTCTACCCAGGAAGATAGCTTGAGGCTCTATCTCAAGAAAAAAAAAAAAAACCTGGTGAATATGAAAAGACAAATCCCTTTAAGAGAAGTTTAATATATCTAGTATGTAAGGTATGCCAGAGTGGGTGAGAAAAGGTAAGAGATGCTTCTAGAGAACTTGAGAGTACCGGGCCATGAAGGGCTCCCAGTTTGTAGAATACTGAACCCACTTATATACCTCTACTTGTAAGAAGTCTAAAAGACCCAGATCCATGCTCTCTTTGCCCCCATACTATACATATCACCACTGTAGCAACCCTACTCCTAGAGACACTCCCGCTATACATTCTGTTCCCAGGCTGCAGCAAGCACCCTTTCACAGCACTCTGAACACTTGGAATTATGACGTCTGTGCAATGCTGCATCCCTAGATGTAGCACATGGCTACCTAGAGGCAGATGACACCTAGTGTGTTATCTGTATTATAGCCCAGCAAGTGGCATCGTGGTTCCCCTGCGGCCCCCTTTCAGCTCAGTCCCATCTAGATCAGATTGTCTCAGAAATGAGGGATCATCAAGCCCCAAGTAAAGGGTGAGGTTGAAGATACTGAATAAAACTGAATTCATGACTAAGAAGAGAAGTAGGGAGAGACACCACAAGCCCTCACCTGGGGTCCTGCTGTCCAGTGCTGCCCCTGCCATAGAGTGGGATGACTTTGTCTCGACTGATGCCGGCTTTGCAAACTGGACACACCTGTCTGTTAGGTCTGGTCTCCAACCACTGAAAACAAGAGAGAAAAATACATGAATGTCCAAGGCCCACCAGAGTGATCAGTGGGCCAGCAAGAGCCAGCAAGAGAATACCACAGGCAACAGGCCTCAAACTGGGAAATGCCAGCCACGAGACAGAGTCCAACTTTGTCGCCCTCAATAGAGTGCCATGGAGTCATAGCTCACAGCAACCTCAAACTCTTGGGCTGAAGCGACTCTCTTGCCTCAGCTTCCCAAGTAGCTGGGCTACAGTACAGGTGCCCACCACAATGACTAGCTATTTTTAGAGACAGGGTCTCACTCTGGCTCAGGCTGGTCTTGAACCTGTGAGCTCAGGCAATCCATCCACCTCTGCCTCCCAGAGTGCTAGAATTATAGGCATGAGCCACCATGCCCGCCTTTCTTTCTTTTGTCTTTTTCTTTTTTTGTAAGAGATAGGGTCTCCTTCTGTCACCCAGGTTGGAGTGCAGTGGTACAATCATAGGTCACTGTAACCCCAAATTCTTGGGCTCAAGCAATCCTCCCACCTCAGCCTCTTAGGTGGCCAGCATTACAGGTGCATACCACCACAACCAGCTAATTTTTAAAATGCTTTGTAGAGACAGGGTCTCACTTTGTTGCCTATGCTAGTCTCAAACTCCTGGCTTCAAGCAATCCTCCTGCGCTGGCCACCCACAGCACTAGAACAACAGGCATAAGCCACCTTGCCCAGTCTTGCTTAACTTTCTTAAAAGCAAAAGTGATAGATAAAAAACAAGTTAGTGGCTCGGCACCTGTAGCTCAACCGGCTAAGGCGCCAGCCACGTACACCTCAGTCCCAGCCCGGACCGAGACTCGCTTGAGCCCAGGAGTTGGAGGTTGCTGTGAGCTGTAATGCCACGGCACTCTACCCAGGG